AAACAGAGCACCATGATGAAAGATGGCACCCAACAAGAGAGTGTAGATGTTTAAAGGAATTGTATATGGAGAAAGAAAGCTGGAGATTGGTCATGTGTTGTTTACTGTAGCACTAAAATGCTGAAAGTCAATTCAGTTACACAGAAATAAAGTGAAAGTGCTATTTAAATGAAAGAAAAGTCCTAGTAGAGAATGCCAGATAGTATGTCTTCCCAATCTTCATGCTGTATCCCTCTTCTCCCTCTGGCCTCCACCCCTCCAGCTCTCTTACCGCACTCATCTGTTTTCAACTCTGCCTTATCAGGACCAGATGGATCCCACTGTCTCTCCCTGCATCAAGGCTACGCAACCTCTCCTCTCTCCCAACCACCTTTCTCCCCCTGGCTTCGCTCGTTTATGATACCCCACAGATTTTGTCACTCTGCGGTTTCTGGCACGGACCGAGAATTACCAAGCCAGAGTCTCCATTTCACCGAACAAACAATGGAGCATCAGAACGAGGAAGAGGCTCTGGGAGCACATACCGGGCCTTTTTCCTCTGTCTCTTGGATCTCCTTTTTCAGTATTTTCTGGCATTTAAAGAAAATTAAAGAAAAACATGTTGAAATTGTTTTTTTTTTTTTTTTATAATATTCTAATTATATGGACATGCACACTAATTTTAAAGTATGGTTTCTGTTTCACAGCAAATTATATGCAAGACTGTATCAATTTGCTTCAGATTTGTCCGTTTTTGAGAAAACTAACAACATAAAGTTGTTCTCAGAAATATGCGCTGCAGCTCAGTTGCAGGACTCAGAATTGGCATATTCATTACAAAACAATGCTTTTGTTGATACTGCTGATATCTTCTTTAACTTAGAATGAAAATAAATGACATTTTGGTATATACACGGACTGCTTTCTTACAGACATCACTGATTACTTGGCAATGTTGCCGCAGCAGCGAAGGCAGACAATTGGAAGAAACAGCTCAGGATAGATCACATGTAGACTTCCATTTCTAGTCTTAATGATTTGTACAGATGTATAACAGCAATGAAAATAAATGAGTGTGGATATTTCCTTCTTTTTCCAGCTTCTACCACATGGAGTACATTTGGTTGTTCATCCTAAATCTGCTGTTATCTATTTTGCTGTAAGTTCTGTTTTTACAGGGAAACAACAAGGATATAAATATTAAAGATCAAAACATGTTATTTATTTTGTGTGACCCCATTTTAATATTAATATTTGAATAATTTTAGATAAATTCTGCACATTCTTTTACATTCAATCTTCAGTGTCCCGTATGAGACAGTGAGGGGAACTGAACATGAACTCATTGTGTGAGATCTCGGCTCAAGACAGAGAACAGAACTCTGAACACTCAACCTTCTTGTGAAGCTTTTGACGTGCCGCCATTAATCTTTACCTACTGGTAAATGTGAAACTGCGTTTTCATTAACTCGTTGTTTTATCTTTTTATGCTATCTATTATCTGTGTAATGATGTTTCTGCCTAATATTGAAGATCACAGAAAAACACTGTCTTCCTTTGTTCTACTTAATTCATCGTATGATGAAATTGCACTAATTTCATTTGAATTATGACACAGTTTCTGCATCCATCTCTTCCAACACTTCTTTCCACTCTACTCCATAAAAGCTCTATTTATGGTAATCAGACATCCTGGAAGTGCCAGGGTTTCCGATAGCAATGCAGAGGATATTGATAAAAATATGACTGAGACCAATGAGATGTGACAGTAGTGGCGGGGGTTCTCAAAGGGAGGCGTGTGGTTGGGGGAGTTGAAGCAGAGGTTTCGAGCCAAACGGACCCCTTTCATGTGGTGCAACTCAGCCCACTTGAGAGGCTGGTGTGAAGTTACAAGATTGGACCCAACTGGGACGAGGCGATGATGGGTCCCACTGTCAATATGGCCATGATGAGCGGAGCCACGCTGGTAGCAGAATTCACAGCGCATGCAAAACCTTTTCTGCAGTGCAAACCCTACCCACACACTCTCAACATTGCAGGTTAATGGCTCCAGAAGTGGGGTCACAATACTTACTCAGTTCATGTCAAATAAAATCTAGAAAGAAATGGCTGATTATGAATTATGTTGAAATGAATTATTAGGCTGAAGAGTTTGACGTTTTGAGTTGAGGGTTTGTTCAGTTTGTAAATTACTGATGGCTGGCACAGTCACATTTCAATGAACATCGAGTTGCTGCTTAAATGATAACTTGACCACACCAAAACATTTCCTATTAAGCCTAGTATCAGTGGGGTTTCACTTTTAAATGTTTCTACAAAATATACCAAAAGAAGCTCATATACTTTTGGATTGTTATGAAAGAAGATAATAATACAGCCAGATAACATACACATCTTGAATATAAATAAATAAAGAGACTATTGCTGATGTATAAAACAAAGGATAAATATAAAAATACCATTTCAGACTACTATGAAGAATAGTGAAGGATCTGTCATGCTGTGGGCCGGTTGCTTTTCCAAAGCTCCAGAAAATCTTAAGAAGGTGCATTGTACCATAATTTATGTTTACAAACCAAGCAAATCTGACATTACTGTACCAATACGTCTATAAATAGGATGATGATTTTACACATATTTACAAATAGTTTTTTTTAGAATAAAATGTGTAAAGGAAAGCAAGAAAAGCAGCTGCAGCAACAGGCAAAAATACAGAACAAAAGGAATTAAAACATTAAGTGTAATTTTAGTTGCATTTTTTTTATTTGACATATGTTTTAGCAAACCACAATCTGTTTCAGTAAGTAGTTTAACGCAGTGCAACAACAAAGCACCACTTAATACGGCTACAATATTTATGCTAGATTCCCACAGCGCACAGCCCCAAACAATGCTGATGCTTTGCCAAAACATAAACCTCCTCATTACAGTCAATCGCATCAGGATTTTAGAGATATAATGCCAGCACTACCTGATCGGTACAGCTCTGTATACACTGGAGCTCTGTAAAACTTTTACAAGGCACAGAAAATCTTGGTTTATTCAATTTCGCTGTATACTTCCCTCAACTAAGCTCTTCTCACCTATGAGCCAATTAATCCTATCTTAAACTTTTTAAAGCTTAGTGCTTGCCTGGAAAGCTCGGGCTTTGCAACACTATGTCTGTTCTATGAACACATTCATAAGGAAGAAAGAAAGAAAGAAAGAAAGAAACCTGAGCTGGAGCACCAAAAGTTTTATCTTCAATCAATCATTGTCTAAAACAATAAACCCCGAAGCTAAATCCAACCTCAACCACAGACCCACTTTACGCTCACATAGAAATAAAGAGTTATACAGAGTTCAGATATTACCTCCCCATCTGTCAGGTAAAGAAAAATCTGAAAACAAAACAGGATTTGGGAGTATTTGCCAATGGCAGCAATCTGGTGTGACGAAGCATTTGTGTGTGTGTTTGTAAGAGTATAGCCGACATCTTGCATCATTACAGATTCAAGGGAGAGGGGGCATATGGCTAGACTCTGTTATTCTTGCTACAGACAAGAGGTGGAAGTCAAAAGACAAAAAAAGGTTCAGAAGAGGTACCAGACCCTGTGGTTTGGCGGGTTAAGCAGCAGAATATGCTTGCACTTTAAGAGCCATCTGATCCACAGCTAACCAGAGCCACAGTTCTGTTTGGACAAAGTACCAAAGAGAAAAGGAGAAAGAAGAATATTTCAATTTCCATAGTTCTCCCCAAGCCATGGCAGAAGAATTAATTATCTATGCTTTATTACTTGTTTCGTCCTCCCTTGCTTTTTTTGCAAACTTTGTCCTCAGACTTTTGCGGCCTCTAACAGTTTTTTTTTTTTACAGGATTGCCCTGTATTCAACTCTGTCTTCCCATTAGCACATTGCCGTTACAGCTTCCTCTGAATGTCATAAGCAAGATGACTTGTTTAACACTCCGATCAGTATATCTTTTAGCAATGTTTTTCTACAATTCCTATGCAAATGTAGAATTTGTAAAATATTGTGAGTTCATGGTTGTGATGTGACAAATTGTCAAAAGTTGCAGGGCATCTGAATGACTTAGCAAGTAACTGTGGGACAAAATAAGGATTTTACTATTTTTTTTGTGTGCTAAGTGGTCCTTTCAGGTTCTTGTTCCTGCACTACCAGTTAAGCTTAAGCAAATTGTATGGTGGCTTTGTCTCACACAACTGCAAAAATGAAGAAAAAAAAGACATATAGATGACATATTGAGCCTTTTATTTGTCTACAACTGAATGCTGACAATTCACGGATCGGCATGAGCTAAAACCACACTGTTGATAAAGTCAAAAGTACATGCACTGAACATATTTCATCTAAGAACCACACGGAAACTCTATACAATACTACAGAGATATAATGCATGGGTATAATCTGTCTGTGCAACCACATGAAGTTCAGCAGCAGCATAAATGATGGTGCAGGAAAAAAAATTAGATGCTCCAGGAGTGTGGAGGAAATGTCTACATAAATCCAGTACGAATGTACTGAGGGGACAAAGCTTGAAACAGAGTGTCTGCTTATTTCTAACATCACTTCAACAGCAAAGTAGATCATTAATGCAAGTGATTTTCACAGTTTTGTATGAGGAAGACTTATTACAGTGTCCCTGTGGGAGGATCAGCATGGGTGGGCTAACAGGCACACATGCAGTGTTGGATTAGAAAGTGGTACACCACATCTTTTTATGACCAAGACATCTCTACATGGCCCTGCCTGTTTGATGGGACCTTTGACGGTCCTCCCCCTCAATCATCTTGCTCCCTCTTTGCTCATTCCATCAAGTTTCTTTGTGTCATTTGCAATTAACGTCACAACCACCCATGAGTCGTCTTCCCCCTTAAACCTCAGTTTCTTTTTAAAACTGGCCTTTTTGTATCTACAATGATGGATGAATATATGTAGAACATTTAATTCACTCTAACGAACAGTGTAATAGCTATAGCACTGTGTAAAAATGTAAGTGTAAGTTTAAAGATTTAAAGTACCTGACAGTGAAAGATGTACTCTGGCGTAGCCTTCTTAAATTTGATGTTCCACACCAGGGCAACACCATCTGGTTCGTGCGGAGCATCTTCATTGTTATTGTAGGATGCAACCAGTAATTCAGGATACTGCAAGAGAAAGCCACAGGGGTTAAAAAAAAGATTACAGAGAGATACATGTTTAAATAAAAAGAATAAATACGACGATCGTCTCTATCCATATAATTGAAGTTGTTCCTGTCTTGCAATGTTGGTATTTTGAAAGGCAGGTGTTAGGTGGGTCTAAACTTGAGATAATGAAGCAGATTTTGTTAAATATCAATTCCTGTCACATTTTTAACTATGAATTCCACTCTTGATTTTCTCCAGTTCCAAATAGTGTATCCATACTGGGATCAATGGTGTTTCAAAATGTTCTGGTCAGGTGTGCAACTTTTCCATGACATTGCCATCTTGATAAGTTTTTTCTTTTCTGATATTTAATGATCAGCTGACCAGTAATTCAAATCACAGTGCTGTATGAATGCTCCCCAGTGGTCAGAGGTGAGTGAAGCATTTGCAGAGAGATTATATAGATTAAGATCATAAGTCTTCAGACAAGGCTTGTTTGAGAGATTAAAAGTACCTTTAGAAAATAACAATCATTAAGCAGATATCAAACAAACAATTTTTTCCTAAAACCATCTTTATTTGATGATAATTAATAACTATTACTCTAATTGCTGCTACTGAAACTGAAGGCAGATGCTCAATATTGAGAAGGGAATCTTAAACACAGAACAAGAGGAAATTGATCAAATAGTAAGAGCGTTATGTGGCATTATTGGGTGAGATTTAAATAAATTGAAACACAAAAATGTCAGGCCTCACCTGAGGGGACCAGTCAAGACAGGTAATAACACGATGTTTGGACCAGTGTTCATCATAGAAAAGTCTGCTGAAGGACAAACTAGAGCCGCTTCCCAAGTCTCTGCAAGTAGACAAGATGATAAAATTTGAGGTGAATCAAAACCTGTTTCAAGTTTTTTCAGCCTCTAAAGTTTTCTTCCATGTTTGCTTGTTATCTCCTCATCAGTTCTGACCAGCCTCCCTGACACAGCAAAAGAAAAGCATCAACACAGAATTAGCAGTAATGGTGATTCTGAGTAGCCAGTAAGGCTATTTGGTTGCCCTGGCTTTTCTTTGAATGTGTCAAGAATAGACAGAGCTGAACAGCACATTGAATTGTTGATTTTTTTTAACTCCCCCCAAATAAAAAAACAACAACAATTAAAACAATTTTCTTTATCTTTTATTACATATCTACACATCATTTTCTGTTATAGTATCACATAAAATCCTAATACAAAATCTAGCAACTTCAGACTGTAACCCCTCTGACCATTGACTAATGAAATTATTTGCAACAATCTGTACTGCTTTAGAATCTTTACGATCACTCGCATTTATTTTCTTTTCTTACACAGAGATAATTTGTATCTACTGAGACAGAATGTGTAGCCTCATTGGCATTGTCAAAGTCCATTCACAGGCCCCAAACAAGGTTAAACAGTTTTACGTCTTCTAAAGAGCAGGAAGAAAACTCTGTGCCTTGCTTTTCATCTTACAGAGTCTGTAATTTCAGCCAGCGATGAGCATATTACTTGGGGTCAAACTACATGTTGTTTTGTTATGTCACTGACCACAGCAGCAATCTGTACAACGAGAAGTTATTTCTTGGTCTAAACCATCCATGACAAAACTGAGAGGACAAAGCAACTGGACTACAAGCAGGATTTTTTTTTTTTTTTTGGAGTACTAATTAACAATATAAATATATGCACCATTCTTACAGTGTTGGGTGAGATTGTATATAATAAAACAAGGCAGTGGAATGTGGGTTATGTACTTATGCTCTTAAAAGCACATTGCTGGGGAGAAAAAAAATAACAGGTCCGATCTTGAGCAATGGGCTACGGCCTCTTTTAGACATAATCTTTATTTGACCACAGGCTTCATACTTCGCTGTGGCTGCAGCGGTCAAAGTTGAAGTGAATCAGTAAAAGCAGTTGTTCCATAATAGCAGCGCAGTAACCTAAAACAGCTTTGCACTTCTGGCTAGAACAACTTCAACCGACGGCTTGATAACCTCTATTTTGGAAGCAGTCGCTCAGATGGCAAGACAATGCTCTGCAAGAAGTGATGGATGCCACTTCACAGAAATCTTTAACCATCTGAGAGTGTGACCTCACTATGAAGACATGCTTTTCAAAGAACAAAGCAGCTCTGAGGCCCCAAGAGTGACACGGTGGGTGTGAGTCACTTGGAAAAGTATCAATAGATGCATGTGCGGACCAAATTCACTTTGCATCCCCATTATTTTCTAAAATATGAACAAATAACTTTTCATGATGGAATTCAAACTTCATTTGAATTTCTGCAGGATGCATCTTAGATTGCCAAAATCTCTCACCCCTCTTTGTCCTCAAGGTCACGGCCGCTGTAGTCGAATAAGATGTCGCTGTCCTCAGCGAGCGCTCTTTCCATCACCCGGATGCTACAGTCGAAAAAACTTTGAAACTCTGATGAGTGCAGGATCTGTTGCCTTTCCTCTTCTGTCAGTTCCCGCAGAACAGGAAAAGAACCTGTGATATTAATAGTAAAAAAAAAAGACATCACAACAGGAAATGACACTGAAAACTCGTTCAATATCTTTGTTCGTATTTCACCCAGAATCCATACAATCAGCGCTGCTGCTTCGCCCATGCACATCATCGCGCATGGTGCACCAAGTGGCTGGTGGCGCACCACACATCGTCAAATTTAAATGACAAATCATCAAATTTGAAAATTTACATTTTTACTGTTGTAATAAAAAAATGTTACCTACTCAAACAGCAATAAAATACTTTTAACAAATGAAAAACATGAAGAATGAGAAATACAAAAACGTCAGAGACATGAGAAAAGACTCCAGGTTTTTATTTGTTTAATGTTTTTATTTGAAACAGACACTAACTTGAAGCCATAAAATAAATTAAAATGTAATTTTTAGTGTTTTTGTAAATAAAACAAATATTTCAAAAATCTCTGTTTAATAAGAGTTTACTATATGATTGCTTGAAAGTGATACAATTAAATAAAAAGACCCATTATAGCACTGTGGGGGGGAAAAAAACTTATTAACTTATTATATTTTAGAGCATAAGTAAAAGATGTTCTGGGTGTACCAGAGATTTTCTTCTACCCACTACTCACTCTTCTCCTTCTTTCCAGCACCCAAAAACATGTTCTCATCTTGAGTGGAGAGACATGCTGACCATATTAAAACTAGTCTCTACTTTTGTGTTATGAATCTCTAAGCAACCAGATGTGACACTTTCACACCAGTCTAATAATAGTCAAAGGCTGCTCTTAATCAAAATACCATATTCTCATTAGAGTGAAGTCTGTCTCACTCAGTTGTTGCTGTGCTACAGCTTGGTCTGGTAAAGTAATTGTAAGCTTTACCAGCTAATCCCTTTTAGGCCCTGTAAAAGGGATTAGCACTTTAAGAATGATATATTAATATATGCTAGAAATTCTTACTTTGAGAAAGTAGTTGCTAAGTTGTTCTGTTTGGTTCAGAGATCAGTGAGAAACACTGCTCACCAGACTGGTTAGTTAAATGCAGAAGAAGCCCATATAAACATAGAAAAAATTTTTGTAAAGTAACAGAGTGAAAAGTACAGTAGGATCAATTTCTATGAAGCTGGGCAATGGACTTAGCTGAAAAAAATCCTGTTGGACATATAACTAGTTTATATGTATCTAACTAGTTTGTCAGACACAACACAAAATTATCATTACACAGTTTGGTATTCAGGCCACTTTTAATTCTCAACATACACATAGTAATCATAGAATCTTTTAAATAGTTTTTATTTGAAACTTTTACTGTAATTGTGGAAAACGAGGATTCCTAGTTTTTTGTCTCATGAACTCAATGTCATATACTGACACACCATCGGAGGAGCTGCAGTATTTAGGAGACAGATAAGTGACAATTGCGTCACATGAAAACATATCAGTTTGAGAAAGCAAAAACAAATGAAGTAAAGCCTGAAAAACATTTTGACTGATTTACAGTTTTAATTAAAAATACCATTGCTGGCATTTTTTTTTTTAGAAAAAAACAAAGCACTGTCCTCTTTACTTCTTCCGACATATTAGCATTCTCTTTATCTCAATGAAAACCAGAACCAGAACATCATAAACTACAGACAGTTTTAATGGATGTTTTCCAAGTAAAATCCTTCAGCGAGAACTTCATAAACAAGAGAAAAACAAAGCCCTGTGAGCGGCCCGCCTCCCTTTGAACGTAATGGCTGCACAGCAAGGCGTCCGGTTTTTGAAGTCACTGTCCCCTGAGCGCACACGGCCTTTTACACACAGACACGCATGCATGCAGACACACATGTATCGACCTTTCCCCTGCCTCTTGACTTTGATCCCCTCATCCCTTTGTATGTTCTTATGAGTTGTCAGAAAAGACCCAGTGAATCGAGTGGCCCAGATCAAAGGCCAGGCCTTCTAATAGGCCAGGATGAGACGGGTGATTGTGTGTTTACGAATGCGTGTATCTGTTTGTCTCCTGTTTGCTGCAGCCCAAAAAATGTTTCACTTTATTCAACTGAACATACATCTAAAGCTTTATTACATCTAGCAATATCAATACACCCCAAAAGCCTTGTGTCCTTTTCTTTCTATTATAAACTACACAAACCTTTCACGTGGTCTTGCACACAAACACACTTGTCTTTCCTTTGAAATGTGGCCAGAGGGTCAAGTGACAGGTTTTTAATCAGCGCTGACCTCCACATGCCATGGAGCTGATATGGCAGACCCTCCTTAACCTCAACCTCAACTGTAACCTACCCCCTCCCTCCAATCAGATACAGCCACTGACTGGGCTAAAAAAAAAGTGTCACACATGAGCGGCCACGTTTCATCACAGACTCACCAGCAACATGCAAGAAGCAGAGAGGGAGGAAGACTGAAGGGTAAAGAATGAGAGCTTTTGTCTGTGCTGTAATCTGTCATAACAATGTGATATATATTTTAAAGTTCCCCCCAAAATATGTCAAAAATGTCGATGAAGAAAGTGGAAGGAACACACACAAAAAAAAGAAAATTTGTTGTACACTTATTTGTGTTGTTCGTTTTTTTCCAAAAAGTATTATTTTTGCTGAGTCATTTATTACACATCGAGTCGAGAAAGATAAAGCTTAAATTGGACAATTTGTAAACGCAATAGCAATCGTACTGATCTCATCATCAAGGGTTACTTTTTCATTTTTTGAGCTGATGCTCTGTCGTTATCAGTAAAAGTTCCCTGGCCCGTAGTAGAAACATGTCATATCATCCTGAGATTGTTGCAAAGAGCAGTGTGAGCTAACAGCTAATGAGGCGATCACTGTTTTAACTGGCATTAGTCATTTAAAATTCAGTATCTAAATCTTCTGATCAGAGTGGAAATAATAATATGAGATTTTGTGTCTGTTGCGCAGCATCATCAAAGAAGAGCTTGTTAGCTTCCACCACTCCAAGGATGTTCTTCAGAAAGCTCATTTCGATATAAGACCTTTCTATTACAGGTATTACAAGTATTATCATATTTTTTTGTCAGTTTTTTATGTTGTACAACTTGGAAACAAGAGAACTCAGGTTATTATCAAAATAAGAAAACAGATTTTTTTCTGCACTGTGAAATTAGGAAAATAAATTATGCAAGAAAGTTATATTGTCAACTATTGCACACATTGTGAGAGCTGAGGGCCTGAGAGGCTGAAGTTGACAAGACCTCTACCAAAGTAGGTTAATTGTCATGCTACAGACTGTTTGAAAACAGCAGTCTTTTTAATTGAGAGTTGTTCTTGGTCTTCTGGCACCAAGCTAGAAGATGAGAAAAAAATCCAAACTGTCTACTTTGTCTTTGTTCAAAAAATGAGAATTCAGTGGGAAATCCCCTTCATTTAAACAACTTATGTAGCTGTTGGAGGAGGGAGTGGTTGTCTAGCCCTTAAATGACAACACTTCCACATAAAGTTTCACAAACATAGATTATCTGGTGTACACAATGTCGTATCCAACTTAACTTTGAGTTTAAACCCAATTCCTTTGAATCAATTTGAAGCTAATTAAATTCAACTTTATTGTTTATGTTTTATTTAGTAAAAATTGCTAAGTATAACATATTTTAGCTTAGCAATAAATATGATGGAAAGTGTTACAGTAGGATAGCAATAAAACAGCTGCATAGTGAGAAGATATTGTGCTGCTTCCAAACATAAGCTATAACAATTTACTGCCTCAGCTAAAAGCTATGAAAGCGGTTTATTCGCTGCTGTGGCTACAGAAGATATAGACGAAGGTGATAAAAAGAAACTTAATCGGTATTGCATTTGATGTGTTTTTATGTAAATCTAGAGTTTTTTTTCCAAAACCATTTCTTTGCTTCAACAACACTGGAGTAGGAGGTGTATGCTCTGGTACACTAGAGATTAGTTTCAAATTTCTTTAGAAGTAGAGATATTATTATGTTTAGATATCTTCTTTTCTTTCACCTTTATGTTCAAATCTAATCTTATTCTTACTTTTTAATGTCATCTTTATTATCATCAACTTATTTGTTATGTGGGATAGCGCTTTGCAGCAGTGAACCACTGTTCTTGGAGTAAATAAAGTCAATAATTCAAACTTTGTGCATTATTCAGATATTCTCCATACCATCTTTGCTCTCCTTGTTGTCATCTTCATCCTGCAGCTCGGCTTCTGGGCCTGGCTTGGCCTCCATCATCTCTTCATCTTCCTCTTCCTCCTCAACTGAAAGAGAGTAAAAGAAGAAGAAGAAGAAAAAGCGAGAGAGGACTCATGTTAATCAACAGCTGTTCCAATTTTCCCCGACCTCCCTCTGTGTGTCTCCTCCCCTTGCTTCTTAACAAAATAATCATTCCCAGACATGCGTCGGTACACCTGACTAACATTCACCCCAAATGGGTTGCATTTGCAAACAGAGAGGTGCTTGTAGTTGAAGCATGAATGCTGCTCACTTTCAGTCAGTTACATGTGTAAGTTAAGGTACTTTGCAGCGGGAACGGATATTTCAAAGGGAACCTGCTTTTGAATGTTTCAATTGATCATAAATGGCCTACATGACTGAGTGTAGTGGTCAATGTGAACACAAATCACAAGCACACACAGTCCACAGGAAATGTAAGTCCTGAGCGCTTTCCTCTTCCACTCTTGACCTTCGACCCGCTGGAATAGAGATCCTGTGATGTGTATGTGTGTGTGTAAGAGGGGATTCCCTCTGCGTTTACTCTAATCAGGCTCCGCAATTATGTTTGACTCTCCAGGATTTATACTGAAGTCAGTGCGGCGTGTATGCGTGTGTGTATGTGTGTGTGCGTCTTGGGTTCAACTATGAAGGGTTACTGTCAACACAGGCACCTGCTTGTCAGCTACTGCCCCCGGCTCCCCTCAGGGTCTGTGTAGGTAACCTTCGCCAACCTCTCCTCGTTTCGGCAGCGCCCTCCCTCTGAAACAGATGCCGATAGTCGGGGGGCCCTCTCCAAAGACCTCTTAACACTCTGACACCGCGACCAGACACCTGTGGTCTGCCGGCGCGCACGCCAGACACACACACAATCTGGCTTTCTCTCCCTCTCACACACACACAAGCGGGGGCCCTCGCCCGCGGTGCCAGGGGTGGCGAGGGGTTAACTGGCAGGGTCGAGCTGACAACAGTTGCTCAGTCCAGTGGGAGGAAGTGACTACATCACACCCTCAGAAATGCTACGCGCAGACACATGCACACGCAGACATGTCAGAGTGTGTTTAACTCAGCTGGAGTACGGCCTAGGGCACTGATAAAACCACTCACTCCAGGGCTACTTTTACTCAACTGTCTCTTTATCACTTGCACCGAGCTAAGCTTTTCATAAACTTCCTGCTTTGATTTAATTCAGCGTCTCTACACAATTTTTCTGAAAAATTTGAATGTATAAAAAATAAAATTTTAACCCTTTGCTGGCCTTTTTTTGACCATAGTATAATGAATGAATGAACAAGTGAATTTACCTTATTAATTCCAGTGGGAAATTCATATAAAACATGGATGGATGGATGAATGAATGAATGAATGAATGAATGAATGAATGAATGAATGAATGAATGAATGAATGAATTGGAAATAAAAACAATGTCCTAATTGTTTTCTCTTCCCATATGCACTGAGCCAGACTTTCGAAAGGCCTCAGGGTGCGGACCTAAAATGTTTTTTTTATTTATTATTTATTTGTTTTTATTTTTTAATAAATGCGTGCTTTTCAGACACTGTACTTTATCTGAGTGTCATAGGCTCTTATGAGGTTCATTGTAAAAATATTTTGAGATTTTTATGACTACACAGTAATTAGTTGTTTGAAAATTATGAAGTTAGAATATTCTTCTAGGACTTATCGCTCTTATCGTACATCAGTTCATACAGTTTTAATATCGTGTAATTTGCCATAGAATATATTTTTATTGGCTAGGGCACTAAAACTATCTCCAGCCCAGGGATCCACATCTCTGTAAATTCGGTCCTTCTTATCCAGCCCTGGAAAACACTGAAATTCAACAAACCTTTTTTCAGAACCCAAAGAAACGGCATTAAAAATTGTTCCTGCATCATGTGACCGACCCAGAAACTTGGTTATCAGTGTGATAAATCCTTGATTTAATTATAATATTAGCTTCCACAGCACATCCTTCCTTAAATGTTTATGTCTGTTTTTTGCCTTTACTTCTTCCACTAAAACAGGCTTGATATATGACTTTAATTTTCATTCTGTGTACATAATAAATGACTAAGCTAAATCAAATACATGGTGTTCAGCCTGGATCCAAGTTGGTGGTTAACAGCCAGTAGTCCTGATCCAAACACCAGTGACCCACCAGTGAGGAGGAGAGGCCAGAGAAACACAGACGGGCAGACTGCCAGACTAACTTCATGTCTGAGCAGCTAAAACAGATTTTAACAGAGCACACAGCAGTAGTACTATTTTCAGCCTTTTTTCTCTCTCCTGTGCTCCCTTTTAAAAAGTGTTATTTCTCTCTGGTGTGGAGTTTTTTGCGCATCTGTCAATCATTTTCCCCTCAACAAACTGCGGTTATTAATCTGAAAAGCTTCAGGATGTGAAAAAAAAGGAAAGCAGGAAGATATGTTACACACAGCTACTATTCTTCTCTATTTTCTTGACCTTATGTGACTGGTCCGGTGGTTGGAATGTGTGGTGATGGGGATGGGAGGAGTGTGAGGAGAGGAGGGAGACCACATTGAGGAGCGGTCAAACTGTCAGTCCGTGGGACCACAGGAGTCTGGAGCAAAGGAGCTTGATTCATGGCCTATGGGTTACCTCACGGAGGAGAGACGGTCCAATTCCCGTATGAAGATACTGCTGATGTCTCTGCCAATGGCCATGCATCAAGCAGTCCTGTCACAATCCTGCACCAAAAATATCTCCACTATTTCCCTTCAGTGGATGCTTTCAGAATTTTTTCTTTTTCTCCCTTACATGCGCTCGGAAAGTCGAGCAAAATCGGGCAAATGAGAGGAGATAATAGAAATATCGAACACAAAACTTTATGTAAAGTGTTGGAGCAAAACACACAGAGAGGATTCACATGGTTTCTTATTGCATTGTAAAAGAAGCAGTGAAGGGAAATTATGAGAGACAATCTCACAGTGTGAATGTGTCTGCCTGCTATCCCTAAGTATCCGCACACCTTCCTGTTTCCACCTTATTCTAGTCACGAGACGCTTTCCTTTCTCCACCTGCCGCTTAATACCACTCCTCACGGCGGGACGACCGTTTAACTGGTATCCTCCCCGCTCAACACAGACGGGGGGTCCACCTTGATGAAACGCCACTTGGGGGCTGCTGTTTTGGCCGGCTACACGCCCGGGGTAATGATATCCTCGGCGGCCCGAGCGTCTGCATCTGGCTGCTTCAATCTTCTCCCAGCTGCTTACTCATGCTGACCGGGTCCGGTCAATTCAGAGCATCCCAGCAGGCATGAAGGAGATATATACAACATACACACACATGTCGAGGGGTAAAAGAGAGAATACACACACTATCCACACACCTAGGATTGCTTCAAACAACTCGCTTTTACTGCAGCAACAAATGTTTTGTCAGACCAATCTGAAAAGAAAACAAAAATCTACCTATTGTTTCCTAACACATACTCATATTCTCAATTTTAGAAAAAGGAACGTGCTGTGTAACACCTCACATAATCTCACCACAAACGAATGGTCTTAAGTAAGAGATTCGATGTTTTGGGATGTGTGCTATTCGTTAATGTTCTGTCTCTTTTAGGCTTTTAGGCCAGAGATGCGCCTTATTTCATACAAACAGCTTTACCAACAGAAAAACGTTTTTGCAATTAAAGTTTCTAGAACTCATAAACAAGCCCTTATTTTATCTGTAGTAGACGTCATGCTCATTGAATGTTTTCTTGTTTTCCTGTAGTCTTGTTTCTTAATTAATGAAGATCAACACGCCACTGCCTTGTTTGAATCTCTTTCCCATTTTGCACAGTTGCTAAAAGGGCCTTAGTGTTAAGTCATATTCATAATCCAGTGAATTAGGATTATTTAAAAAATTATTAAATGCAATGTATAGATATTGTTGACAACGCACCAAAATTGCTATAAAGATGCACTAATTTCAAAACAAGCTGAGGATTTTAAAATAGTAATGGTTAGCCAGTAAATGAGAGTGCTGCTTTTGATTGTTCTAAATCGGGTAACGGTCTCAGTAAAACAGGGAAACTAAGTGCCTTTACAAATGTTACATGCTTGAACAAATGTTGGAGGAAATGCTCCTTAAAGATGCAGTGGTTTGAAAAAGAAGAATTAGCATAAAAGAGTTTTAAAGGGAAAACTGTCATGATTTGTGGTTTAGTTTTATCAGAGTTTTGCGTTCTCATTCTTCCACTTTTTTACTGATTTTTACTCATCTCTCTGATTCTCTAGTTCTTCCTTATTCATCCCTAGATTATCCTATGTCCATTTTGCATTCTTCTTTTCTTCAGTACCTTTGTACTGCGCACCTCTCGCAGCGGTTCCCCATATGCAATCACTCACCTGTCTTGTTCCAGTAATCACCTTCCAAACATAAGCATCTCTCTGATTCCTTAATCCCGTGTCGGTTCCTGTTTTTCTACCAGCAGTTTGGTTTGATTGGTTTGAATTTGGGCTACTCTCCATATTAAATTTAATATTTGTATTGCTGTAGCTGGTTGCTGTTAGTAATTACTAAAAATATTAAAGAGTATATTTCTGTTTCCCATTTGCATATCTGCTATAGCTTAAAATTTCAGTGTAGTCGGATAATGACATCATTTTACTACGACAATTAATTTTAAAATGCTAGATGCAATGTTATGTCTGACGTGGCTAACTGATCAAATATAAAACACTATTGTTTTTATTCACTCATAGTTTTCTGGCCCCTTACAGAGTTTTGCAAAAATTACAATTAAACAATATGCCACCTGACCAAAAGAAAGTTACCAACTAGATGCAAAGAAAAAGGTAAAATCTTGCCATTATAAACATTCAACTGTGAATAATGAATTTTATCTGGAAACTAATAATTAAACTCTCATGTGTTTTCAACCAAAGGTGTAAGAAACAGATCTGGTTGCTCTGTTGAAGCAATAGTTTCTGATATTGAATAAAATTGAATAAACCAATTCAGGATATCAAGGAAAGCTGATGATTACTTATTATATGTATCATTTTAAAGACCAAGTCTTCTTGAAATGGT